GACCCTACAGAGTAAAGAAAGCACTCGGGGGGCATACGAGCTCGAAACCTTAGAGGGTAAGCAAGTACCCCGAGCATGGACCATCGTCAACCTAAGGCGATACTACCTATAGACCACCAAGCAAAGTGGATAAAATCACCACCAAAACAGGCCACGCGAGTGCGGTAACCCGGGCAGAAAACAAATCGGACGTATGGTCAGTTCGGAAAATACGCTCAGTTCGGGAGAAAGAACAACCAACACTTAACCAAAAGAAAGTTATTCCATTTCAAAGTACGGTAGTACATTTCAAAAAAAAAAATTTACAAGCCCGGAGCTACTTCTTCATTATCAGAAGGCACTTCAACGATACTCGAAGGCCCTACCTCGCCCTCGGAGTCTGGCTCACCATCAGCAGCATTGGCCATCTCCTGAGTTATGCGTGAAGTGGATATGGCGCTAATATCGAGCTCGGGGTACGTATTCTGGATCATCCAGCGGCTTAGTTTAAAACCCCTCCTGTATGAATCCACCATCAGATCATCAAAGCCCGGCGAAGCAATGTACTCATCGACAACCTTCTTCTTGGCATCTTCAATACCTTGAGAAAAGATTTGCGTCCTCTCCCTGATGTCCTCCTGAAGGTACTCAACCTGATGCTGCAGATCTAGCCTCAAGTCCGCCATGTGCTTCACCACCACTCCCATGGCCTCGGCATCTCTCTGAGACCTCGCTTGCCTGATCCGTGCAAAACGAGCAGCCTCCTCGGCAGCACGAACAGCCCCTTCAGCAGCTCGCAAAGTCGTCTCAGTAGCGCGAAGAGCCTCTTCGGCAGCTCGCGCCTGCCTCGAGCTACTCTCCACCTGGGCCGCCAAGGCGTGAATAGAAGAGTTCACCTACCAAAAAGAACCGAGAGATCAAAAGAACCAACAAAATGAAAGCCAAAGAACTCTAAAAAAGGGAGATCACTTACCACCATGGCATGGGTAACGGCACGACAGGCCACTTGATGTAGAGGGAGATCAGTCCACGCCGTGACCTCCTTAGGGAAAAGGGCCTCCTTACTCTTTTGAAGAGCATGGGTCGGCGACACCACACTCCTGAAATCCCTTGGGGCCCCCGAGCCTGAGGGCCCAGCTCGCATATGAGCAGACCCAGAGTTAGCAGGAGCAGCGGAGTAGGTAGGAGCCCCTGTGTAAGTAGTCTCAGCATAAGGGAACCCTGCCGGCTCCTGCATTGGAGGAACCATCTCGGGCTCCTTGGGCAGATCTTCTGATGGATAGTTTGGCACCTCGGGCTCCGCATCCCGGGGCAGCTCGACGCGAGTTCGCTTGGCAACCCGCTTCCTCCTCTTCATGCCTTGGAACAAGTGCCCACCACGGGTCCTTCGAGAATCCATCACACCTGTGAAAAGAAGTTTGCCATTAGTAAAAAGCAAGAGAGACAGCAAGACAGAATCTCTAAGTGAAGAACCTACACGAGCCCAGGTCGGCCGCAATGAGCTTGGCCTCCGTCAGATATTGTTGACACTTCAGCCCAAGCTGCGCCCATTGCCGGAGGCCCTTTGCCGTCTCTTTGTCAAGCGTGACCCCGAAGTCAGGAGCGGCCATCCCCCACCCGGTCTGAAACGACCACCCCAGCACACTTCGCACCCCGAAATAGTCCCGCTTCCACGCTGGAACCTTGTTGGGGAGTT